ATCATCATTATTGTTGTTATTGTTATTATTATTATTTTATGTGAGAGAGCAGCTTGGGATCATTGAAAGTCCTGAAAATTTTCCCAAATGCAATCCAACCTGTTCTCTGTATTTGTCCAGGATATCTGTACCTAAGTAAATGGGATGTCTGTCCAACTTCCTATCTTAATCTAAACAGTATATATTCTACATCCGCTTTATTTTTCCTGTGTGGACTGCTAGACTTATCTTCCAGTGCCTGTAGATGTAGTTAAGGCCTACCTCCTTAACACCAGTATTTTCCTACAAATCATGTCATATCACCATCAATTGTGGATGACTCAAAAAAGCAATGGAGACACATGGTGGGTATGTGGCAGGTTGTAGCATGTAAAGTGATAATTGGAGCAAGAATTAGCATAAAAGACATCATCAAAGATATGTATTATTGGAAAAGGAGGAGGCCCAATTAGATGGTGAGAGCAAGGGTTAGCGGATGGATGAACAACTGGTACTCATAAAATGTTAAGAGACTCAGAGAAAGGTGTGTTGGGGAGACATGACTATCAAAAATTTTACAATATGAGAAGTCTGAATGGGCTGTGATCTCTACCAACAGGGTGTACACTGATGAAATCATGGCTTCACTGAAATTTGAGTAGTATTGTCATAAATGATGACTACCTTGAAACTAAATGATCACTGGTCCATTTCAAAAAATAAAAAGTCATCTGCCAGTAGGACATGAGCTTTGAATAATCTTTCTAAGAGGGATGATGGGTTTGCACTGACTTGTTATTCACATCCTCTGGCACCCGGTCCCTTCCTTGTAACCCAAGGGCACTTATTTTCAAGCAGTTGACCAGGTAAAGGAGTTTAGTTTGCAAATGTGGAATGGAATAAAATTAAGACATCAGACCTAAACCTATCCCTGGATCAGGGAGCAATGGGACACTGGCTTCTCTAACCCACATCAGGATCCCTTTCTTCCCTAAAAGAGAGACGTGGGCTTCATCACAACCTATTAAAGAGAAGCATTGGCATACAAATTAGCCCATCCCTGGGGTCTAATGGGAATTGGGCAATGGGACAGCAAAAATGCTAATCAGCTTTGACTTCTTTCTTCTTGGCCATCTGCTCCCAGCCTCTGGTTGTTTGTGTACAGCCTCTGTGTACAGACATCCTCATGTGACCCCCTTTCTTGCCCAACAGCTATCCCAAATCCTGGCTACCTTGTTTTAGACTAAATATATGCCACATGTAAATATACTCTAGGGTTTTTTTTACCTAATCCACTTAAAATTCATTTACTCAGTTGGTCATCTTCAACTAAGTAGAGGATTGAGAGCAGCATGATTAGGCCCCTTTCCCCGGGGCCTTTTGGCATAGACCTATCTGGACACTCCCAATAACAGAGTCTTCTCTGGGCCCTTGGGGTCCCTTGTGATAAGAAAACATCCCATCTTTTTTGTATTTTATTTTAGTGCCCTCTCGATAACTCAAAGAACAATGGAAAGTGGGTCTAAGCAGGACAAAGACTACTGCCAGTGATGACTTGAATGCAGAAATGGCATAAGATCATTAGATCTAGAGTTGATCTTAGAGCTCTCATTTCACAGATGAGGAAAGTGACTCATGAAGGGCATGTATGTCTATAAGACGAAGTAGGCTTATCACCTAGTAGTAGTGAGGGAAGACGAATGGACAGACTGGATACACTGGTACCCAAAAAACATTAGAAGAATCAAAGGACAGCAAGCATCCAGTGCTTCAGACAGACCCTTCAGGGAAGATTATGAACCCATGAGTAAAAATCACCCCAGATGAGACTTGTTTGGCTCCATCTGCAAAGGCAGAATCACTAGAACTGAGGGTAAAAGTTACAAAGAGGCAGATTGTGACTCAACATAAGGAAAAATCTCCTAATACTACATGTCCAAATATAGAATAGGTTGCCTCAAGCAGAAGCTAGATGACTACTTGTTGGGGCTATCATAGAAATGATTCTTATTCAAGTATAGATTAGACTAGATGGTCTCTGAGATTCCAATAAATTAAGATTCTGTTATTCTTTGAAGGCAAAGCGTGGTTGCTATCTGCACTAGTGAAGGAAGTAACCACATTAATGAAATAATAGATGCACTATTGTCTGTTACCACTATGGTTCTCTGGCAGAGAAACTGATTCAACATGAGCTAGTGGAGAGACTTGACTATGGAGTCGGGAAGTCCTGGGTTCAAATTCTTTGATTGATTCATATGTATGAATCCTGTATGACCCTGGATGAATGACTTAGCCTTTCAGTACCCCAAGTATTTTTTCATACACTATTATAAATTGCAGAATGGTTCCTAATCTGCTTTGGCAGAGAGAGTTCCACATATCAGTGAAATCACAGATCCATACTCCCCCCCAAAAAATGTACTGGTAATAGATGCATTATACTTAGATATGTTATAATGTGAGGGTTTGGCTTGCTGGTCAGCTGGCTATTTCCTTTCTTTTTTCTTCTTTGTTATGAGGGATAGCTAATTACCTGGATGGGTGGGGAAAATATATTTTGAAATGAAGGTGATGTAAAAACAAAAAACATATATTAAAATTTAACTTAAAAACATTCTATAAATCAAGACTTTTAAAAAATATTTTTGTTAAAAAATAAAAAAAAATATTTTTGCTACATTTTGAGTTCTGAGTTGTCTTCTTCCCAACCCCACATTAGAGAAGCCAACATTTGATATAGATAGATATGTGGAACCACAAAATACATACTTTCATATATCAGTTCTTTCTCTGGAGGTGGATAGCATTTTCTTTCCTAAGTCCTCCGTGGTTGATTTGAATAACTTAGTCATTGATAGTTACTGTTCAAAAAATATTACTGTTACTATACACAATCAACCTCTCGATTCTGCTTATTCCATTTTGCATTATTTCATGCAAATCTTTCCATGTTTTTTCTAAAATCAATCTGCTTGTCATTTCTTACAGCACAGTAGTATTCCATCACAATCATATAACAACTTATTTAGCCATTCCCCAATTGATGGTCATCCCCTCAATTTCCAGTTCTTTGCCACCACAAAGAGAGTTGCTATAAATATTTTATATAAATAAAATATAAATATATACACAAAATATTTTATATAAATTTTATAAATATTTTTAATAGAAAAAATGTAGTAGAGTGCAAAAACATTGAATTTGGAATTGGAAAGTACCATTTGCCACTGTGTGATTTTGAACAAACCACTTCATCTTTCCTAGCCTGTTTCCTCATTTGTAAAATGAGACTAAGAGATTACCTATTTCATGGGGTTATGATACTCAAATGAGATAATGCACCATAAAATATTCACATGATTACTATCATTTTGTGTTTAGTTATATTTTGGGGTGGTTACTTACTAGCACTTAATGTCAAATTAAAAATCTATCTTGAAATCACAGCTATTTCTCTCCATTTGTCTTCATGCTAGCTTCACTTTCAGAGGGTGACATTTCCTGACCTTGTATGCAGATTTGGGGATACAACAGTCCTCTATCTATAAGATATATTATAGAAAAGGAAACATGGTCTAGTGGAAAGAACACCAGCCTAGGAGCCAAAAGACTTTGGGCTTCATTTTGGCTCCACTATTTCCTCATTATGAAATCTCAGGCACTCTACTAAAGTTCTGTTCTGGTGCCTCATTGTGGCATGAGGGTAACCATGGCTGTGCCAACAGAGCAAGAGCTTCGGCTGGTTCAGGTACAGAGCTGGGGCCCGATGGTAATTCTGGTTCTCAAGACGCAACCTACTTAAGACATCTATGTAGAGAATTCCTGCTATAGAAACTCCCTCTTGGGCAGCTAGGTTGCACGGTGAATAGAACACCGCCCTTGGATTCAGGAGGACCTGAGTTCAAATCCAGCCTCAGACACATAACACTTACTAGCTGTGTGACCCTAGGCAAGGCACTTAACCCCATTGCCTAGCTTAAAAAAAAAAATTAATTAAAAATAAAAACTCCCTCTTCCGACACAAACAGGTACCTTGTTTATAACTCCTCATTTCTAAGAGAGGTACTGAAAAGTTAAGTGACCCCGGCTCTTTCTGACTCCAAGCTTGTGCTTTATCCCTTGTGTTTGATTTACAAGTGTAAGATGTTACTATGTCAACAATATGGGCTTTATTAGCCTAGTGGGCAATCATCCTCTATCCTCAAAAGATAAATTTCCTTGGCATTTTGATTTTACACTGGCACGTAACGAATCCTTACATTCTTGAGCATGGGGCTAGCACATGGGATACTTCCTCAGGAACCCGGATAATAATTGCCTTTCCTAGCATAGCCTCTGCTACACTTATTCAGTTTCTCTGCCAGAGAACCGTAGTGATAACAGGCATAGTGGTAGTGATGGTAGCAGCAGTCACAGCAACAATAATACTTACCTGGATATTTCAAAAGAGCCTGGATTTCATCCCTCCAGTAAACCACCACCAGCTTGAGTTATAACAAGTGAATTATTAATGGAGTTTAGTTGCTGTAGTCCAAATGAGACCCCAAATGACCTCTTTATCACCTAGTAACCAGCCTTCTAGTGATGAGCCTCTCTGAACTTAGCTAGATTGTTTCCATACTCCAAGGTTTTTTAATGATATTAATAATTCTCATTTATATTCACATTTCTGGTCTACAAGGAACTTTGTTCATGAATCTTTGAGGTAGATAATGCCAGTATCATTATCACAGATTTACAGATAAATAAATTGAGATTCAGAGAGTTTGTGGAGGAAAGATGTTAAGTATTCCTCATGCTTCCTTGTTTTGATTTTCTCATTCAAGTCATCTCCCTTCAGTACCTAGTCCACTCCTATGGGGAAATGGGGTTCTCCTACTCAGAAATTAATTTTGGGACATAGCCTGAAGCCCCTAAACAATAGCTCTGCTGGGAAACTGAGCAAACTTTTACTTATGCCTCCAAATACATCCTCACTCTCCTGCTTTCTTGGTATTTTCTCTCTCCTCTTTTTGCAGACTGGAAGATTCCTGGGGGAAGTGGATGGCTCAGTCATGACCTACCTGCTCAACATGGGGGTATTCAGTCAGTAAGTAGGGAGCCCCCTTAAACCTGAGGGCATGTCTCTTTCCCTCATCCTGGGTTACAGACATGGCCAAGAATAATGATGTTGAAGAACCCAGATGGCTCTCCAAAGCCTGGAATGGGGAGCCAATGATGAAAGCCCCAGTAGTCCAAAAATTCCTTTTTAGACATCAGGGAATGGACATGTTGGGGGGGGGAGGGGGAAGGAGAGGAGAAAATCATTGAGCTGGTGTAGAATCCTCCAGATCTCTCCAGTTATCACAAAACTCACAGTTACGTAGCACTTTAAGGTTTACAAAAGCACTTTAGCCTACTTTGCTCTGGATGTCTGCCAAGACCTATATTTACTTATTCATTTTTTTCCAAAATTATTTAAACCTAAATTGTTTTCTGTAACTTAACTTCTCCATTCCTCTGCCTGAGGTTTACAGAAATGCCACTTTAAACATTTGCTTTTCTCTTGTTTGCCTTGAATGAATGTGTTACCTCTAATCAATTCAATTCAGTAAGCATTTAAGTGACTATTAGGGAGGCTCCTAAGGGCTGGGGAAACAAAGACAAAAATAAACCATTTCCTTAAGAAGCCTACACTCTACCAGGAGAGAAGGGTGAACTGCATTAAGAGGAACTGGAAAGTTCTTCTAGGTAGAGTTCAAGGGCGGATAGGTGCTTTCCTCTCAAAGCAACAGGATAAATTCAACTATAGCTACTGTTTAAAAAAAAAAAAAAAGCAGGCCAGGTATCAGTCAGTCAATAAGCATTTAATAAGCATTGATTATGTGCCAGGGACTGAGTTAAAAGCTGGGGATACAAAGAACGGCAAAAAGCAGGATCCCTACATTCAAGCTCACACATAATGGTGCAGATAACATGCAAATTACCATGTGCTATACAACATGTATACTCAGGCCGTACTTTCTCAGAGCCACGCCTGCAACTTGACCTCTACTCCCCCAGGGTTTCAAGGTCCCATGAGAAGTTTATGGGGTATCCCTCTACTCTCATCAACTCAAGCCCCCAACAACTGTGTTCCTATCCTTTGTTAGGGGGCCAATAACTATTACTCCCAAACCTCTCTAACGCTGCATAGCTTTTACAAGAGGCATTTACTTCACATATGTAACAAGAACAAACGCATAAATATTTCCCCCAGTAATTTGATAAAATTTTCTCCTCTATACCACCTCAGTCTTTGGGGTAGGCTCAAAACTTAGCTCAGTTCCTACATAGTATTGGTCCCACTAAATTCATAGCCACAGGTGGTATTGCAGCTGGATGAGTCCTTGTTTCAACTTTCATGGTCATGGGTCTAGAAAGTCTTTCCTGAAGATCACTCCTTAAGGCATTGATGCTGGGCTGGAGGCAACCCCCAGCATGGGTTCTGACGGCTGGATTCCTGTGGCTGGCCTATTGAAGATTCCTATTCCTGAACCTAGAATAAAAAAGAATGAAGGAAAAGGCCAAGAAGGCCCCATTTTGCTAGGGGCCAGGTGGGGGTGGGGGGGAGGCCCTGAGACCCTTCCCCCAAGGTAGGCATTTCCCTTATACATCATCACAATTCTCCAGGAATCAGTTCCCTATCATCTTTCCATGTGGAATGATGTCATCTGAGCAAGCCATTCAGTTCTGTGCACATGCCAGAACCCTATTATACATGCAAGATATACTCATTATAAATGGAAAGAAATCTCAGAGGGAAGGCACTAGCAATGGGAGGAATCAGAAAGTCTCTTGCAGAAGCTAGGATTTTAAGCAGTCTTGAAGGAGGCCAGGAAGCCAGGAGGTGCTGACAGTGAGGAGGGAGAGCATTCCATGTGTGGGGGGAAACCAATAAAAATGTATAAAATAAGCAGAGGAGATTTAAATGTCATGTTCAAGGAACCAGGCCAGTGGAATTGGATAGGAGAGTGTGTAAAGAAGAGTAAAATGTAAAAACACTGGAAAGCTAGAAAGAAGCCAGGTTGTAAAAGGCTTTAAATGCCAAATGGAGTATTTTACATTTGATTCTGGAGGTAATAGAGAGCCACAGGAGTTCACTGGGCAGGGCGATTTGCTTTTTTCTTCACACACAGCTCTCTTGTTTTACAGAGTGACCATGTATGACTACCAGGCCATGTGCAAAATGTCCCACCATCACCACAGCGGGGGGCGGCACCTTCTCAGCGTGAGTATCACATCATCCATTCCCCTTTTCAGTCACAATCCCCAAATGAAGGTAATGGCTTTAGGAAAATTTTGTCCAAGAGGGCCTGGACCCATAGAATGTACAAGTTTTATAGTCAAAGTGTAAAGATAATCTAGATCAGTGGTGTCAAAATCAAGCAGAAACAGATACTGAGGGCTGCCTATTGACTTAGAAAACCACAAATGAACATTACTATGTGGCCTCATATTTTTATTTATTTTGCTAAACTTTTCCCAATTAAATTTTAATATACTGGGGGCTGTACTGAGGAGTTTTATCCAGGCTATGAGTTTAACACCTCTGATCTAGACCAAAACTTCATTTCATAGATGAAGAAACTGAAGCCCAGACAGATGAAATGTCTAGCCCAATGTCACTCCAGGAAAAATACTGTTTGTATTACAACACACTCATAGAGGGATTAGGCTCGCTCCAGTTTTATTTCACTAATGCTTCCATATGTGGCCAAGGAACCAAGTCCACGGACTCCCGTAGCAACTAGTTCCATCTACCCCTCTACACAAAATGCTAAAAAGCCAGTTAGAAGAGATCTCAGAAACCATCAAGTCCAATCTGCACCTGAACAAGAATCCCCTTTTGCAGCATCCTGACAAATAGTCATCCAGCTTTAGCCTGAAGATCTCCACCAAGGGTGAACATGCCACCTACCCAGGCAGCACATTCCACTTTTGGGCAGTTCTCATTGTTAGAAAGTTTTTCCTTATATCAATCTTAAACTGGTCTCTGAAACTTGCACCCACTGGGACTAATAGTAATTGAATATTTAATCCCTCTTTCACATGACAGCTTTTAAAACACTTGAAGTTTTCCCCCATATCTCTCTGCCCTCCTTCTACCTCCCAACCTCCAACTCAGATCTTCTTTTTAAACTAAAAATCCTTCCAGTGACTCTCACGGGCCATGGACTTCAGTCTTCTCACCATCCTGTTCATCTTCTTCCAAATGAATTACATAATGTCCTTTCTAAACTGTTGTGCCCAGAACCAATAACAAATATACAGACGTAAACTGACCAGTGAAAAATGCTTGATGATTAGTGCCTCCCTCATTCTGGACACCATGCTTCTTTTCCTGTTAGCTTTTTCGGTTCCCATGCCAAACTTCATTTATACCGTGCTTGTAGTACACTTAACCCCGCCACTCCCCCAGGTCATTTTCACAAGAAAATAGTCTAGCCAAACCATCCCCATTTTGTGCAACTAACTCTTTGAGTTCAGGGTATAATATTTATCCCTATCAAATTACTTCTTAGTCATTCCACTCTTCTAACCTGTATACAATTAACTATCATGTCAGCTATCTCTCTCAAAGACTTCATCTACAAATATAATAACCCGAGGGCAGACTGAGCAAGAACTCAATAAACATTTGCCCAAAAGACAAAAATGAAAGTCATCAAGTCAACAAACATTTATTAAGCATCTACCATGTGCCAGGCATTGTGCTAAGTGCAGAGGATAAAACAAAGGCAAAAGACAGTTCCTGCTCTCAAGAAGCTTACAGTTTTGGGCACAGACAAGATTCAAACAGCTCAGTACAAACAAGATATATACATTATTAAGTTGCAAATAAACTCAGAGGGCAGGCATGAAGATTAAAAGACTTTTGTAGAAGGTGGGACTATAGCTGAAATTTGAAGGAAGGCAAGGAGGCTAGAATGTGGTGATGAGAAAAGAGTTCCAGGTAAGGGAAGCAACCAGTAAAAATGCAGGAGACGGAATGTTGGAATATTGGGGAACAGCAAGAAGGTTATTGGATATCAGAGTTGATAGAAAGTGGGCAGAGTGTAAGGTTTAAAAAGACTTGAAAGGTAGGAAGGGACTAGATTATGAAGGACTTTAAAAGCCAAACAGAAGATTTTATACTTGACCTGCGTTTTAGGAAGATCAGTTTGACAACACAGTGGAGGATGGACAGGAGTGGGGAGAGACTTGAGGCAGGGAGACATCAGGTGTGAGGTGACTGAAGGCCTACACCAAGGTAGTGGCAGTGTCAGAAAGGAAGGAGACATATATGAAAAAGTTGTTCTTCGTCCTTCATTCTTGAAGAGGATCAATGACATCATGAGGTAAAGTCTTGACTTGCATGTGAATTGGATTTAAGTGAGGTAGAGCTATGCAAAGTTGTCAGCCTCACTATCTCCTCCAGAGTCTTCAAAGTCCACTGGAGATGTAACAAAGGTAGAAATGACAAGACTTGGGAAATGATTGAATTGGGGGAGGCGGGGAGAGAATGAGGAGTTGAGGATAACAGCCTTTGTAACTAGGAGAATGTTGCCCTCCACAGTAAGAAGCAAGTTCAGTAAAGGGGAGGGTTTCAGGAGAAAGATAAGGAATTCAGTTCTAAACACAGCATGTTTAAGATGTCCACAGGACATCCAGTTCAAGATGTCTGAAAGGCAGCTGGGGTTGGGAGAGTGGAAGATAGGAGGGACATTAGAGGTGGATGAGTGGATGAGATTCATCTGTGTAAAGATGACAGTTTTATCCCGGGGAGGTGATAAGACCACCCTAAGAAATACTGAAAAACTTCTTGTCTTCAAAGAGCTTATTTTCTATTGAGGTCCCTAAGGGTAATCTACCAGAGCTCCTAGTTATGAGATGATATCTTTTGTTTGTTCATCCAACCAGTTCTAAATTCATCTAACAGTACTATTATCTAGGCCACAGCACTCCATCTTGTCCACAAAGAGAACACAAGAAACTTTGTCAAATGCATCACTGAAATCTAGGTTTACTGTGTCTGTGGCATTCCCCTAACGCTGTCACAAAAGGAAATGAGGTTAGGCTGGCACGAACTCTTCTTGATGAAGCTACTCTTAGCAATCATCAATACGTTTCTAAATGCTCCTAAGCCCTCTCTCTCATATGTTCCGAGCTCACTGGCCTATATATAGTTTCCAAATGCCATGCTCTTCTCTTTTAAAATACTCAGGACAGCATTTGCTCTTACATCCTATAACACTGCTCGAGTCATCCACAATTCTCAAACGTCCTTACAGTTACTTAACATTCACTTCTACCAGTTCTTTCAGGCCTCTATGTTGCAGTTAGTTCAGTCCTGGTGACAATTCATTGAAGAAGACAGTACTCTCTTACTATCTCCATATTTACCTTAAAGTACAATTTAATCATTTATGTTTAATCCTTCTCTGTGGGAAGCATTGTACTTGATGGAAAGGACAGAAGCTAAATATAGTTAAATAGTTTTTCCCTATCTACTTATCCCAGCCAATAGTCCCATTGCTTCATTCTCTCCCTCCAATTGGGCTTAAGAAGACCTTTTTTTTGTCCTTAGGATTCATTCACTATCAGTCTCAGCTCATTCCAGTCTTATCCCCTCCCAATACTACTTATAGTACTGTCAGGTTTTTGTAGTCGTCCTCTATTACCTATCCCTGCTTCCACTTTTTTTCCCACAATTTTGTTTTGACTTACAAACTATGATTTTATCAATGTAGGGGTCTCCTGGGTGGGAGTGCCTAGAAGTAAAGATTAGAAGCAAATCTGTGATTTTAGAAAATCTTAGAAAATTGGCTGGTGGCAAACAGAAATTAAATGACATCTCTAATCAAAAAGCTTCTATGCATCAGAGAAACAGAACCGGAACCCAGGTCTCCCTGCCCCCAAAGCCAGCTCTCTCTTTACTACGTCATACCACTCTCCACTGTCAAATATGTCTTTTTAATATGTCAGTGGAAGCTAGGTGACTCAGTGGATAGAGTGCTGGGCCTGGAGTCGGGAAGATTTATCTTCCTGAGTCCAAATTTGACCTCAGGAACTTAATAGCTATGTGACTCTGGGCAAATTACTTAACATTGTTTGCCTCAGTTTCTCATCTGTAAAATGAGCTAGGGAAGGATATGACAAACCACTCCAGTATCTTTGCCAACAAAACCCTAAATGAGGTCATGAAGAGTCAGACATGACTGCACCACTCAGCAGCATTCAAAGCACCACGTTAGATATACAAAGACAAAAATGAAATAGTCCCTGCCCTTAAGGAATTTAGGTGGGGGTGGGAAAGAAGAGAGAGAATACAAGAAAGCAATTAATTCAAAGTAATGGGTTAGGGTGACAAGGCGCACTGCAGGCGCTAGTAAATCTTTATTAAATGACTGGCATAAGGAGCTCCCTGGATGCAGTAAATGCAGGTTCCAAACCTCTCTGCAATTTAGTCTTACACGGCATGGGGACCTGAAGCTAACAGAGTCAGAGGAAAGACTGGGACCCTCCTAAGAATACTTTTAGCTATGGAAATACAAAGTAATAGGTGATGGGGAACTAACTACAGGAAAGGGTGGCACCTGAATTGTGTTTATCACAAATTCTAAGATGCCGCCCCACCTCACCCCATCCCACCCCCAAATCATTTATGTTCCAGTTCAATGGGAAACCGATGGTCCCCATTTGTCGGTCATAACTAGGTCCAGAATAATAATTCTCTTTGTCACTTCCTCCATCTTTGGAATAATGAAATCATTACGATCAGCCCTTCTGCTTCTTGCTAAGCGAATATGCCCTGTGTGTGGCCAGACAATTGAAGAATCCCGTCCCTCCCCCATACGTTATTTAAACACTGCCACTGAGTCGGTGGAGGACCACAGAGCTAGAGCGCCCGGGCGTCCCACTGCCTGTGGTCTAAAGAACTTCCGCCAAGGTTTGTTGGCAGAGGACGCCATGAGGAAGCGAGAAGACAGAGGCCGGCAAGCTGCGCCGGTCCCCCTGCTTCCTTCCGCTGACCTTGAGGATGGGCTCCGCTCATCTCCACTTTGGCCCCTCTCTGCCTCCCTGTGTGCCACGGGTCGCAGGGACAGGGTCCCCAGGTCCTTGCCGGGGAAGCACTAGCCCCCGCGCGGGTCGTAGTTCCCTCAAAACTTGACCGGAACTTCCCCTGAAGGCTACCGGAACCAGGGCTCGCATGTGCACTCTGTGCACCGTCTAGCCCTGTAGTCCTCC